TATATATACACAATGGAATTCTATGCCTCCATCAGAAAGAATGACATTGCCCCATTTGTTAGGAAATGGAAAGACTTGGAAAAAATTATATTAAGTGAAGTAAGCCAGGCCCAAAGAAACGTAAGTACCATGGTTTCCCTTATTTGCAATAACTAGTATATGTCTGAGACAAACAGAAACTGTCAGACAAGTTGATGTTAGGTGAAATGAACCCCAAGATAAGGGCTCAAATATTTTTTTCTTTCTTGTGATTTTTTCCAACATATTTATAAGATGATTTCTTTGTTGCTTTGTATGTACCTCCCCCAGGGTATAAGCCCTGATTTCACTGTATTTGATGTGGATATAATTCGTGGAGGGGAAGGAAAAACACAATAGGGTTACAGGTGGACCCATTACAACAATGAGATGTACAAGATGTTATGCTGAAAAACGAACTTTACAACTTTGGTGCGGTGGGGGGTGGGGATGGGGAGGTGGGGGAGAGGTAGGGGATGTGGGGGTGGAGGTAGAGAGGGGAAGGGATGGTATGGGGAAACAAAGGAGGAGATAACAATGCTTGATAAGAAATGTATTATCTTGCCCATGTAATTGTAACCCCTCTGTATGGTATTTTCACAATAATTAAAAAAAAAAAGTTTGTTGAAGGGAAAAAAAGAAGTGCATGGTGTTACAGAAGGGAAGAATGGGTCCCAAGATGGGGCTGTGTTGGGTCTTCGTCTGTCTTTGGATGGATGGGGTCCGAGGAGAGGTAAGTGCGAAGTGAAGTGCAGCCGCTGGCCCCTTCCCCAGCCTCCCTTAGCCCAGGAGACAATCAGACGCAGCGGGGAGTCAAGTCAAGCAGGAACTCGTTTATTAACAGGGAGCATCCCCTTTTTAAAGCAAAAGACTGCGTGCTAGGAGAGGAAATGGGATCAACCAATCACTGAAAGGCCATACCTTATCATGCACCCAAGCTTCCATGAGATGTTTACACACTGAACCTAAACAAATCTAGCTCTGCCCACTCAACTTCCTCTCAGGGCCATCTTTGCTACCTGTGTTCCCCACAGATTTCCCCCACAGGGCTGTTGCTACCCAAATCAAATACTGCCCCCAAAGTCATCAAGGTGAAACACTGAAAAGTAGTCATCATTTTCCAATATGGAGTTTGATGGAAACCTTTCTGACAGCCTCAGGAGAAGATAAGGTTAGAGCAAAATCAGAGCTTGTGACAGAATCTGGAAGATCAAAAGAGGAGACATCACATGTCTATAGGCAATCTCTTTGAGTAGAGAAATAGCCAGGTAGCTAAAGGACACAGTGGAACTAAAGGGAATTTACTTCTGATTTGAGACTTATTTAGAAAGTTGGAGTTTATTCCAACATATTTATATGCTGATGGAGGACTTGAAGATATGGAAGAATAGGAGAAAAGAGAAATGCTTGTAGACTTGAGGAGGGACTGAAACTGAAAACACACATGGAAATAGTGCTCTCAGGCCAAGGAAATGGCTGATTTCTCCACTATAGGAAGTAGAAGAGAAATACACTACCCACTTGGAGGTATCTATACACTTAGTAGTGGTGAAAGGGGATGGAAATTCCTGCCACACAAAAGCACAAAATAGCACATTTTCTTTTCAGTGTGAGATAAGTCCTTCATCTTCGAAGAAATGAAGTTGAATCAGGTTGTAGTATTTATTAAGCATGGAATTGAAAGTAATGTTATTCAATTCGTTTTGGACTATTATCCACCAAGAAATATTTTTTTTATTATGACCTAACACACACACATACACCACCACCACCACCACCACCACTACCACCACCACCACATTTTATAGCATAAGGTTAGGCCTATTAGTTATGAATTCTTCTCTGTTCATTCAGGCAAAGTAAACAAGCACCAAAGTGTAAAAGAAACATGGACTGGGAAGGAAAAAGACAAAGGATCCCATCTTATGCCAAGGTGAATTGGACTTCCAGGAAAGATGGTCTTTGTAACCTATGAAAATCATCCATTTGGATATTAAATCAGAAATTAATGATAATTTCTGTTATATTCAAATACTAAGTGATTATACTTGTAGTAATTTGCTTTTCAAATATTAGTTTTTCATTTTATTGGGAATTTATTACATTGATACATATAAAACAGTTTATAAAGCACTTATGCTATTAAAATGATTAGAAACATCATATAATTGTTATCCTGGTTAAGCAATGAAATGTTTTCAGAGGCTTAGAGGTCCTCACTCCCATCTACCTCCGATTCCTACATGCAATTATCACCTCAATTTCATTTTCACTATTTCTATTTTTTCTATTGTTTTAGTATTGATGTATCCCTAAGCAATGCAAATCAGGTTGGCATATCTTTGTACTTTAGAGAAGTGAAATAAAACATGATATTATGCTTTTGCACTTGGCTCTTTCACTAAATATTATGTCCATGCTGATATATTTTTTCCATTTTTATTGTATCACACAATTTCGTAAGTGAATATTCCATAATGTTTGTATCATTCTACTGTTAATATGCATTTGGCTTGTTCTCATTTGGGAAACCCAGTTTGGTCTCCCCATAAATACATGTAGGTGCTTCTCAGTGGCATCTAGCCAGGAGCAGCACTGCCAGATCAAAGGGTATGAGTTCTGTCACACTCAACAGGTGAGTCTGACCTTTCCCGGCTAACACTAGTAGGTGCTTTCTTATTGTTCTGTCACCACTTCACATTGTAGGCTTCTTAGTGTTGTTGCCATCTAGTGGGTGCAAATTGATATTTCATTGGGGGTTATTTTAGTATTTGTATCTTTGCATACTTTAATCATTTTGACTCCGATATTTTATTTTAAGTAATTAATTGATTTTGTGCTGGTCCTTGGGCTTGAACTCAAGGCCTGGGTACTATCCCTGAGTTCTTTTGTTTAAGGCTGGCACTCTGCCACTTGAGTCCCAGTTCCACTTCCAGATCCTTTGGTGTTTAATTAGAGATAGTCTTGGGGACTTTCCTGGTCCAGTTGGCTTCGAACTGCGATTCTTAGATCTTAGCATTCTAAGTGGCTTGGTTTACAGGTGTGAGCTATCAGGGCCTAGCTCTTATTTTGTTTCATTAAAAAAAAATGCTCATCATGGTTCACTAAATTGATATCTCCATTTGAAAACAACTGATGTAAGGCACACTATTTTACTTTTCTGAACCTGTCTCCTTATCTGTAAAACTGAGATAACATCTCATAACATCTCATACCTGATGATCAGGTATATGAAGAAAAGCAAATATTGTGCTGAATGTAATATTATTTTTCCAAAAGAAAAAAAATAATTAGAGTCTGAGTCTGGACATGACCAATGGCTAGAATGATTCCAAAATGTCCACTCCTGTTTCCATTTAACCCACAATGTTTTGAGTCTTCATTTTCTCTCAGATGGCAGCACCACCTAATTCACGTCCTCCAGCTACTAGGCTTGGGCCATAAGCAACGCTTCACTGAGTTGATACTTAGTAGGATTGGGATGGGATCCTATGGACATTGGGAAGAACTGTAGACTGAGTAGCAGCCATGCCTGGCATTTAGTGAGACCTGTTGTGACAGAACATGGCTAACATGGGTTTCCATTAGAGCACATGGAAAAGAACATGACTCCGAGAGACACCCTCAGGACAAACACCAAGGCTCCCTACTCCCTACCTCTCATCTTTTTTCTTTTTTAAAATAGGCCTCAACTTAGGAGGCAAACACTTTACCACTTGAGCCACAGCTCCATTCCCTTTTTTGCTTTAGGTTATTTTTCAGATAAGGTCTCATGTTTTTGCCCAGAGCTGGCTTCGATTATAATCATCCTTCCTATAACTCCCATGTAGTTGGGATTAAAGGTATGAATCACCACACTCAGGTTATTTGTTGAGTTGAAGTCTGCTAAAATTTTGTCCAGGCTGGCCTTGAACCATGACCTTCACAATCCTTACTTTCCCAGTACCCACTGTACCTGTCCCTTTGTGCTTTTTCTTAAAGATTCCTTTCCCCTCTTTTATGAGATGTTTTGATAATACTGAAGGTTGAACTAAGAGGTATATGAATGAATTATACAATGTGAATATGGGGTTTCCCACAGCATCACCTGTAAAAACTTATTTTTACAAGGTAGACTTGTTGTTTTACTTATTCTCGTTCTGAGAACAACCATAAAGATAAAGAACCCACCAGGCAGTCTGGCTTCTCTCCTTCTTGTACATTATTGCAGTAACTGTCTGGAGGTTACAACCCCTGGGCCGGAAGTGCATGGGAAATGAAGGGAACTGGCAACAGAGTGAATAAAGTGAATATCTTTCTAAGAGTAACCATGGCAACATTCACAACACTGATTAGCTAGGTGCATTAAGCACTTTTTAGGAATAGCCAAAATTTTATGCTTGAGTTTTATTTGAAACACTTCTTTCCTACAAAATCATCGAATATTTCTTGGTATTTTGGAACTTTTGGCAGCATTCTAAATATTATAAAATTGTAAATGTCCACATGTTCCTTCTAATTACATTCAAATGCATTTTTCTAAACTAGGTATTTTTATGCTTGAGATGGTATTTCTAATTCCCAATTTATTATTAAGGGCTAATTTACAAAATGGAATTGTTTTGATGATTGGTTTGCAGTAAACATTGTGTACCAAATTGGTTTCTAAATTTAGAGAAAGATTGATTCTCCTCTTATAATAATTAAGAAATAATAGAGGTATTAATGTTAATGAAGCTTCCATAATCAAAAAGCCAAATTCTGAAAAAAAAAGCAGAAATTAATATTAACAGGTGGAAGCTACATAATTTATAATTCTTACAAAAGCTTGTTTTGAGATCTTTTTATGTGATAATCTTAAGAATGTAGTTTATTAAATGATAAGATACATACCAAAATGTGCCATACTTTGGTGAATTTGGTAATATTAAATATAAGGTAAAGATATAGAAGATAGTGCATAAAATTCTAAAAGCATAAAAAAAGAAAAAGCTGTTTTAATAGATGCTATGATTTCTATATCTGTTTTTAAAATCTTTGAAAATGGTAACTATTATTATCCATATAAATGTTCTCAAAGAAAAAATAATGTTCCCATATAATAAGATTTGAGTACGTGCTCTAGATTTTAAATACAGTAGACTCCATGTCCTTTCTTGGAGGTTTCTGAGGGCTGATTTTTGGTAATACTTCCTTGGCATACAATGCTTTATGAAGTCCCGCCTCTCGAAGTGCTAACTCAAAACGAAGTCTAGGGTCCGAGATTATCTGTAGAAATAAAATGCAACTTCAATAAATAACTCACTGAACTAAAGTAAATCTTATCATTTAGCTTTATATTTTCCCAAATAACATAGATTTTGTTAGTTAAATGACAATACATTTTATGAGTACTGTAATTACAATTCTGATCATTTTTTATTAATAGGTTTTTTATTGTGAAAATACCGTACAGAGGGGTTATAATTACATGAGCAAGGTAATCAGTACATTTCTTATCAAGCATTGGTGCCTCCTCCTCCTTTGTTTCCCCTTACCATCCCTGCCCTCCCATCTCCCCCCACCCCTGTTTCTGATCATGTTTTACTAATGCCCAAGCACTTATGACATTATCACTTTCTAGGATGTTACTTGTTTCCAACACAGGTTGTACAGAATATTGTATATTAGATTAGTCAAAATACAATACAGTAAATGACGAAATGATGAAATAAAATAAATTTTTATTCAATACTGTCATTGATTATTGATGACTAGAATTATAACATATAGGTAATTATTGATTAAAATTAATCTATTTTAATAAATAAATTAACCTGTGCATGTCTTTAAACAGACATTTTAACCTCTCCATCATTGAACAATATGCAAATCAAGTTTACTTAAAAACCAAGATCAATAGAATCTTCTTCAAGACTGGATTTCTATTTCAAACAGAAGTAGAAAATGCCTCCATCAATCTGAACTAAGTGGGAGTAGACAGATGAGTAGATCAATTCTTGTTTTCATTTATAGCAAATTGGGCCTGATTCTTCTTTCTCTCCTATGAATAAGAAATGTCAACAGACACTGTTTGTCATGATAAGAATGTGGTCACATATGGATTTCACCTAATGAGGCATTTTACCTGGATTTGAATCCCCCTAAATGAATGAGGGTAATAAGATACATAGATAAACTGCAGTTTGTGGCAACATGTGCTTGATGCTATATGGATTGTAAAACATGGAGGTACATTGGCTCTGGTTTCAGCTAAGAAGGAATCCAGCTCATGTTAAAGTCCAATTTAGTCTTCTGTAAAGCAGAAGGGGAGAAAGAGAGATTGGACCAGAAAGGAAGTCACACACAAACTTAGAAGTGGATCAATTCTGGGAACAGGGTAAGTTTGGGCAGAACACAGAGTGCCATTGGAGCACACTGGGAGAGCAGGTGATTCTCAGACTTGGATTTGAGTTCAGAAGGCTTGAGGACATGCCATAAATGTGAAGAAGCTAGTGGATGGAAGGGGTTACACCATCACAGTTGTTGATTAGGAAGATGGATGATAAGTTCAGAAGAAATTAAGGTGACAAGAGAAAGTGGTTAGGAATCAAGTGGGAATGTCTGGACATGAAGAAACAACTGCTTGAACTTGGTAGCAAAGAAGAGCTGTTAGAAATACTGAAAGAAAGAATCAATAGAACTTGGCAACCTATCAGATACAAGGGTGAGATGAGCCTGAGTTGAAGAACAGTACAGAAATTTGCATCTGAGCCATCAACCGAGCTGACCTATACATCTCATCTGTCTCGCTACAGTCTCTTTGTTCATTCTTACACACTCCCAGTGATTTGTGTTTGATTTATACGTTATCTCCCCCCCAGGTTTCACCTCTCTTCAGCTTCTGAGTGCTATAATTTTCTTCTATTATTTATTCTATTTTTGAATACAAAGTATAAATGAAGTGGAAACTCTATCCTATCCATACCTCAATTGTGGTTCCAGAGGTTGCTCATCAGTTTCTTACAAATATCTACTAGACACTTTTACTCTAAATACGATGTGAGCATAACAAATTCTCCTTGTGTCTAGGTTTGTTTTCCTAATGTTTTCTTAGGTGGTTAATGGAAGTACCACATAGCAACTATAACTCACTGAATTACTACTTGGTTCAGGCAATATTCTAGACAGTTGCAATTTATTATTTCTAATCCTCCCAGGGACCTTGAAAATTAATTATTTTATAGAAGAAGTAAACAAATATTAAGACATTAATAGCTTTCACAAATGCATTCAGACAATAAATAGTGGGTGTGAACCATAATCCCAATGCAGGCTCTTCCCAATACTAATTTCTATGTAGGTTGGGACCAGCAAGTAATCAGCAACTTTCTCAGCCAGAGGCATTTATGACCCCTTTGACACCACTTCTACAAGGCTTCTGTCATCTTAAAAGGACTTCACCTGATTCTGCTACCATCCTGTTATAAGAACACTTTCAAAAAAAAAACAAGAGTTGCAACTAAAGAAGTGAAAACAAAAGAGTTATCTCAGCAAGACAAAATTTACTACTTTGCAAAAGGGCCCACTATCCGCCAAAAATCTGGCAAGCAAGCACACACAGCAGGCCAGGCTGCTCCTTCTTGATTCTTAATACAACAGGCCCCACCCCTCTGTTTGTATTGGTTGAGCTCAAAATTGCTAGTTTAAAGAGGTTAAGCTATATTAGCATAAGATGACCATTAAAAGACTTTGAAATAAGAATAACACTACCCAGCCTATCTCAAAACCTAGGGTATATCTTCTTTGTGTCTTAATTCCATCTTGGAACTACCAGTTAAGACAAAACTCTGGCCCTGGGCACTGTTCCTCAGCTCTTCAGCTCATGGCTAATTCTCTGCCACTTGAGCCACAGGGCCACTTCCAGCTTTTTCTGCTTATATGGTGCTGAGGAATTGAACCCAGGACCTCATGCATGCAAGGCAAGCACTCTACCACTGATCCACCTTCCCAGCCCTTTTTTCCCTTCCTTAACTTGATGATATTGTTAGAGTAATCAACAAGAACCAAGCCATCAGCTCAAAGCAGGAACTTTCAAGCAAACTACTTTTTGATAGAAAAGATGGCTTTTTTCCCTCAATCCTCACCAAATTTCCACTCAGGACACACAGCTAAAGCATAAATCTGACTATATAATATATAATAGCTGACTACATACTATACTTGCTTTAAAGTCTCATGCCAGATTACAGGAAGAAGGCCACATGCCTACATAGCAGAATTGACTGTGTTTTCAAACTCTCAGGTCTCAGCATTTGTCATATATTCCTCCTCATGGACTCACTGCAAGGGCCCCATCCCACCCTCTTCAACTTGTAAAACCCTAATTTACTTAGCCACTGAGACTTTTGATTCTTGCAGGCCCTATCTGTCTTCCCTACTTGGGCCTCTTGTATCTGGACATATCACATCCTTATAAGAATGTCTCTCCTAATGTATGCTCAATCTATTTTTAGCTTGTTTTATTTTATTGTTTGATTAAAATTCATCTCTAGTAAATTCATCCACCTGAAATCTTGGATGAATGTAGAGCTCGGAAGCTCCATTTCTGATCTGTTCTCTAATCTTCCTATCAGGGGTGAGCATTCATCCCTTCCCCTTGCCACAATGGCTCTGAGATCCCTGTTGAAGAGTTGATCTCATCCTCATGACTTACTCCTGTGTCCCAGCTCCCTTTTCCGGCAGGACTAGTCTATCTTGTTTTGACTGTAGCCCTATCTATATCTTATACAAAGCAGGATCAAGTGTACATTCCAGAAATATTTGTTCAACTAGGAAATGAACATGTGTAACTTTTTGTTCTTTATCAAACTATCCAGTGCGTAGTAGAGAGACCAAAGATTCAGTAAACAACAGAAAACTGCAATTTTCTCATTTTAAAATAAGTATGTAGCTTCTCAGCTTTGATTTGTAAGCTACTAATTTTGCCCTAAATTTCAGAAATATCCATTCATTCTTACATATTTCCATCCACCATCTATCTCTTCATTCTATCCACTTAAGAGATCTTTTTCATATCCCATCTTAGTTCCAGGTACTGTGACTCCTAGGTTTCTAAAATGATTAAATAATCCTCCAGTGGTTTTCCCCAGGAAATGTTGTATTTTACCACCATTCCCATGCACTATCTTCCATTCATTCTCATTTCTAAATGCTTTGCCTCCTCAGCATCAGAAGTTGATTTTTTATTTTTATTTTTTTATTTTATTTTTTTCCCATTGTGGGGCCTGAACTCTGGGCCTGGGCGCTGTCCCTCAGCTTTTCAGCTCAAGGCTAGTGCTCTACCACTTGAGCCACAGTGCCACTTCCAGCTTTTTCTGCTTATGTGGTGCTGAGGAATCGAACCTAGGGCCTCTCATGCATGCAAGGCAAGCACTCTATCACTGAGCCACCTCCCCAGCCCCAGAAGTTGATTTTTAACAGGATTCATGTCACAAGTTTAAATATAAATTCTTAAAACTACAGAGAAATATTCAATCTATAAAAACATTAACACATTTTTAATAGAACTTTATAAAGTTCATTCTTATTGAAAAAATAATTTTCAATGGTGGATTTGAAACCATTTAATTCCATCATCACCCATTGCCCATTTTATAATCTTAAGAAATATGCAGTCATTATGTGCTATTGCGAAGGAAGTCAAAATCATGCTACTACATGCTATTTTTAAAGGTAAATATTGAAAATAATTTGTTACCCAACACACACTTCCATAGCTCTTCCTATCCCCATCCTTACTTTTGCATCTATCATATTAATTCCCATAATTACCTGCTGCTCATTGTATGTGTTCAACGTGAAGAGTGGCTTTTGAAGAGAAAATTCTTCATCAGTGTCACTATCTACCCTTGCTTTCCATGCCATTGTATCTGACATCATCCTAACAGGATCAAATTGGGCAACAACAGCAACCTAAAAAAGGCAATGTGCAACCACTGTGAGCAAGGTACAAGCTAACTAGTTCTGGAAAACTGTATAAATACTAATGACCACTAAACAAATTTTATTGAAGATACAACCCAAGTGATAAGGGCAGAAACAATATTAAAACCAGGTCAGTTCTACAAAATTACAAAGGAGTTAAAACATATATCAAACAAAATATAAAAGACCAGGTTGTTGTAATTATTTGCTAATGGTTAGGGCTTGCTCAAAGACCTGGGTTTGATCCTAAGCATTGAAAAAAAATGTTATTTGTTAATAATTTAAGTAGTCACAATTATGATTGTTAAAAATTTCTCATAAATTTCATAAGGAACTTATTTTTTGTCCATTTTGAGGCTTGAACTCAGGGACTAACTGCTGTCCCTGAGCTTTATTTCCTTAAGGCTAGTGCTCCACCACTGAGCCACAGAATCACTTCTAGTTTTCTCGTGATTAATTGGAGATAAGAGTCTCACAAATTTTCCTGTCCAGCCTGGCTTTGAACTGTGATCCTCAGATCTCAGCCTCCTGAGTTGCTAGGATACAGGCAGGAGCTACGGGCAGCACCTGCCATAGGGAATCTTATACAGAAGTTTTACATCTTGAATGTGATCAAAGTTTTTTTTAATGCTTTTTAAATTAAATTAAATTTTTTAACCTGCTCACAATCTAGGCTATGACAACAATCTCATGAAAGCTTCTTGAAGTTTTAATAACTCTTGAGCATATCACTCATGGTAAAGCCAAATGTGTTGTGAGTGCAGAAGAAGGGTAAATTTCTATTATATCAGGCAATTAGATTTCTTTTTTATATAAGTTTTTTATTGTGAAAATACTGGACAGAGGGGTTACAGTTACATGAGCAGGTAATGAGTCTATTTCTTGTCAAGCATTGTTGCCTCTTCCTTTGTTTTACCCCTACCATCCCTTCCCTCCCACCTCCACAATTACACTCCCCCCCTTAAATTGTAAAGTTCGTTTTTCAACATAGTGCCTTGTACATCTCATTGTCACAATGGGTCAAGCTGTATCCCTATTTAAACATTTTGTTTTTTCCCTTCCCCTCCCCAAATTTGACCAACATCAAATACAGTGAAAACAGGGGTTATACTGTGGGGGAGGAACATACAAAGCAACAAAAAAAAAAACACATAGTACCTTATAAAAACCACCTGTGTCTCTATCTTGGGGTTTGTTTCGCTTAACTTCATTTTATCTGGTCATCTATACATAGCATTTGACCTTTTCTACTTGTCCCAGACATATACTAGTTATTGCAAATAAGGGAAACCTTGGGATCTATAATTCTTTAGGCCTGGCTTACTTTACTTAATATAATTTTTTCCAAGTTTTACCATTTCCTAACAAATGGGGTATTGTCATTCTTTTGATGGGAGGCATAGAATTCCATTGTGTGTGTGTGTTTGTGTGTGTGTGTGTGTGTGTGTGTGTGTGTGTGTATTACATTTTCTTGATCCATTCATCTACTGAGGGGCATCTGGGTTGGTTCCATATCTTAGCTATGGTAAATAATGCTGTAATAAACAAAGTTGTGCTGGTAGCTTTAGTATGGTTTTGTTTGTGATCATTTGGGTAAATGCCCAAAAGTGGGATTGCTGGGTCATAGGGGAGCTCTATGTGAAGTCTTTTGAGGAACCTCCATACAGGCAATTAGATTTCTAAGGACTACGATAAACCATTTTTCCAAAACTGCACAGTCATTTTAACACCAATTTCCTTATTCTGTATGATAATTCAAATCTGCATCTTAAAATGAAAAGAAGCTATTAATTTTGTAAATTATATGTGGCATTCGCAACACCTGCCTGTTAATTCTACAAGAATTACTGTGACATAAATGGCATTCTTAATGCCATTTAGGAACTGTAATAAAATAACTGGAAGGTAAACCTACCATAATCATTGTAGGTTTTCTGGATAAAGTATCTTAGAGTATAATTCTAAACACTGATTACAGAAAATGAGTTCTGATATTTTTTTCAAAGGACTTATAGATGGAAGAGAGTTTGTCCTAATTATTATAAAATAATTATACACCATGGTCTTTTATATTTTGTTTGAGTAATAGCAAAGTGATATTTTGAACAAAAATGTGTCAGCCATTTTATCTCCAAAAGGCTGAGGTATGAATTACTTGTTAGTGATTGAGTAATTTGAATTTTGCCAGATCTAGGGTAACCAGAATCCTTATGCTTTGAATTTATGTCTATAATCTAATTTCTTGAAGAGGACAATGATTAATGAGTTGTTTGTGTTCAGATTGTGTACTCTCACTTAACTAGACCATCTTGTTTTGAATCCCATCTCACATTTAGCAGCTGTGTGACTCCTCAGTTCCCTCTTCTATAAAATGGGGCTGTTAATAGCTGTTACATTATAGAGTTACTCTCAAGATTAAGCCAAGTGACACCTAGGAGTGTTTAGAAGAACATGTTACACTTAGTAAATATCGATTTGAACTTGTATTATTACAAACCCATAAAGCAAGTACTATTATCATTATTTTTCACATTTTTCAAATGAGGAAATTGAGTCAAGGGAGGTTAACCAAATGGCTTAACTTTACTCTGCTAATGAATAGCCAACTTTTGAAGGTCAGTTTCTCACTATGTTGCTATTTGACCCTCATGCACATGGATGGGAAGACAGACAGCTGTTTCCTATGGCTAAGATTTTGGAGTTGGCAGCATCAACCACTCACTTTGGGTTCAGAGTTCTAAAAAAATTACCAGTAGAACAATTTCATCACATTTCCCAAATTCTTAAATTGCCATCTACTATTTACTTTTATCTACTTTGCCAACATCTATTAGGCAAGGTAGTAGGAGTTTGTGTTTCTTCACACACACAAAAATATTTTAAGTACTTTTTAATGTGTTTGTTAATGGTGGGATGATTTCCAAACTGAGATTCCTCCTCCAAAGTTGGTTATCTTGCTCTACCACATTCTTTTTGCTAACAATAAAGTCCTTTGAGTAGATGAAAGGCTCACCTTGCAAATGGATGCTGTTCACCTCATAATCTAGGGTAATATGGGTACATTTAAATCTTGACAGAGCTTTTTTTTTTGAGGCACTGAGCAAGTATTTTTTGTTGTTGTTGTTGGTTTTTAATATATAGAGAAACTGAAAACGGTCCACTACAAATCTAACCCTTTCCATGAGGACGTTATTTTTATAACAGATTCAGTGAGCTAAACCACAGTTTGTTCTTAATAATAACATTCCTTAAGAGTACATTAAAGAGAAACAAATAAACAGACCTCCCAGGAAAGTTCCACACCTGCTTCCGAAGGGCTTCCAATCTCCTCTCTCTCTCCTCTTCCTCGTGTGCTTCTTGAAGGGCCACTTCCTTTTTTTCCATTAAATGCCTCTCCAACAATTCTTGTCTATATTTAACCCTTTTTGAAAAAGAGCACACAGGCGAGTTGAGTGAGCAGGATAATGACTGTGGGGAGTATATGGACAGGAGAGGGGTGGGTTCAGGGCAAGATGACTCCCACAGGTGGCCTCGTTCTCCTACTTCCGTTTTACTTGTCTTTGATTTCCCATATCCAAACATTGAAAGGCAAGTGTGTGCAATTTACAGTGATTTTATTAACAACCAGAGGAATACAGTGAGGCCTGGGGTAAAACCTAGTTCATCTCATTCCTCATGGAAGATTCTTTATACTTTTAAGCCCTGGCTGCCACAGCTGCAACTAATCTGCTGGCAATGACCAGCCCACCCCTGAGACACTGCAGCAGTCTTTTGAGGACAAGTTTTAACATAATTTGTGTAGTTTTATAAAGGCTGCCTTCCTGATTAACATATAAACATTTTTTAAGAAGCAAAGGAAAAGAAATGACAATAATATGTCAGTATTATTTTGCTTACTAAAATTTCAAATATATACAAATAAAAATAAATATGTATATTCACTCATAATGTCAGGAGTGTATTTTCTGAGTGGGTGTGTGCTAAGGAACTTCAAAAATTACACTTTGACATCTGTAGATGGCAGCATAAACATGACTTTCCTTTCTCATTAGATTTGCATCCCCCTTAAAATAATCAGATATTGACCCAGACACATTTAAATAGCACTTAAATAACAGATTGGCCATTCTGTCATCTGTTTTAGGACAGCCTCGATTGCTGTCTTCTTACCCTTTTCATCTCTTCAGTTATGGAGATGTGATACACCTTTTCAAAAAAGTAAGCTCCTGAGTTCTCTTCTATCTTCTACCATTATCAGTCTAAATTTAGCTTTCTCTGTGACATCAGTGACAAATGTCTTTTAGAACACACATTCATATTTTCGACAAAGGTACCTTCTCCAGATCCTTCATGTTCTGAAGCTTCACTATGCATCAGGCCTATGCTAAGTGCTTTGTTTTTTGTTTATTTTTTCTGAATATTTTTATTATCTTTAAGTAGTTGTATAAAGGAGTTGCCACTCACCAATGCAATTCATGAACACAGTACACTTTGATGAATGTCACACACCTACCTCTCCCCTATCCTCCCCTCCCCTTATTTTAAGTTTAGGTTATATATTGCATTTTTTGCCATCTAACAAAGCAGTTTATGTGTATAATGATCTGTGTCACCATTTTAATATCTTTGACCCCCTTTGACCCACCCCTTCCCTTATATTTCTCAATTTTGTGGTGAATTCTTGCCTGCATTTTCCTGCCTTCCCCCTTCATTCTTCTTCCCTCCTCCCCTTGTCTTTACCCTTTCCTCTTGCAAGTGCCCATTTCCTGGTACTTATTTTGTTTATTTTTGTTTGCTTAGAATTCACAACAACTATATATTGAAGTACTTTTTAAAAATCCTATTTGAAAATCTCACTTTGCCCCTTTGGAAGCAAAACAAGTGATATAACATGTCCAAGGTCTTATATTCAGTGAGTGACAGCATCAAAAATCAAATCCAAGATGACTGATCTCAGAGTCCAAGACTACGCCTCACTATCAGACCCCTTTTCCAGCACTGTCCTTTCCCCTTGATCTCTCTTCTCCCCTTCTAAATAATAATCTCTCTTTTCTCTTAAATACCTACTATGTATTAAACCCTTGGCCAGATAATTTGGGCACATTACCAAGAAGCTTACAAATGTCTTTTGGGCAGAGAAGGCAAGTGTGAGGTTGATATATGAGACCCCAGTTACCAAAGGTCACAGGGAGGGGAAAGGTTCTATGTGGCAAGAGCAACATCAAGGATATATGTGGACAGGGAGGTACAGGGAAGCACTGGTGGGCTGAGCCCAACAGTCATATTTTAAGAAAGTATGGAGTATTTTAAGTATGTATGGGAAGGAATATTCTTTGCAAACTGGTAGCTTGGGAGGCTGGCACTGGAGGAGAAGCACATGCAGGGAAAAGAAGGACAGAAACACAAATCTAGCATGGAATTTAGAAGGAAAACCCCAGCTTCATTTGGGGGATCATGGCCATCTTCTAGTTTATCTCCAATATTATGAGTCAGAACAGTCAAGAAGAGTGGATTAAAAGACCCAACAGTCCAGAACTCTCCCTCTCTCCTATGCTTCCATGTCACAGAAAGCTCTATTTCTCATTTTCTCCAGTATCACCAAGGCATGACACAACCTCTCTAATGAAGTTCTACTCAATTTAAGCACTGAGTACAAGCTAAGTGAACTACTGTGAAGGTTCAATTAAAAGATACCCTGGGACTTGGCAATTACCATATGCTAATTCTTGGAACCTTTGGAAAGTTTCTCTTCCTGTGGGATATATAGGTTGCTTTGTCTGCAACAAAGTTTTTCCCTTCTCTGCTTTGTGGGAAAGTAATAGCTGTTCCTGCCAGGGGAGCTTGACAGTGAGGAAGAAACTGCGAGTGAGATTACATGCACTAGTGTCATAGAGAAGCGTAGCTCACATCTACTGTGAAGCTCATTTAACAGTTATTTACTAAGCTAGTTGCCAGTCATGAGTTAAACACTGTACAAGGCACTTGCAACACAATGATCACTATGGAGGTCTATGCTGGGAGAACTGACAATCTAATACTAAGAGTAAAAAAAACAAAAAACAAAGGCAATTATAATTGTTCAGATTGTCTATTCTCTGATAAGACAATGGGGTAGAGGCCTTTGGAGAGGTGCCTTTGCTAGATTTGAGAGCATTTGAATTTGAGACCCAACAAAGGAGTAAAAATTCACCTAGGGAAAGAAAAGATAGGGGTTGTAGGCATGGCCCAGTTGGTAGAGCACCAGCCAATGTCAGGTGCTGAGTTTGAGTCCCAGTCTCAAATCTTAAAAAAAAAAGAAAAGAAAGAAAAGATTTTTAAAAATATGCCAGGAAGAAGAAAAAAATAACATGTGGAAGTCTAAAGCGTGGTGTGTTTGAAAAACTAGAGAAGAGTTAGAAAGACCAAGTACAAACAATGCAAGGTTGATAGGTGCCAAGAACTCAGGATGAAGTGTAAAGATGGGATCAGGTCATGGGGACTCTGCAAATGTGAGAGTTATTAATCAGAGAAATACAATGATCCAAATAAATTTCTCTGCAATATAGAAGATGGGCAGAGCAATTCAGATAGAAGCTGATTGTTTTCTGACCTACGGCAGGGGAGAAATTGCTAGGAGGTCAGAGAAGATGAGAATTTAAAAGATACAGAGGAAATAAAATAAATAGAAAAAGGTTAGTTTATCTCACGGGGAGGGAAAGAGAGACAGAAAGAATATGAGGTTTCTGTCTGGCAGAGTAAACAATGGTGTCTTTCTAAGGCTGGAAACCTAAAAGAGGGACAGGCAAACGAAGAATAAAGGTTCAGTTTGGACACAGAACTACCTTCTGATAGCTCAGCTGGAGAAATGGAGAGGACTGTCATCCAAAGCATGGAATTGAAGCCACCCCAAGGAGCACATGGTGTATCCAGGATGAGAATGTAAAGTTAGAAGACAAGTAGGCCTAGGACTGATTTCCAAGGAAATAATACCAAATGAAGGGACACAAGAAAACTCCTTAGGAAAATGAGGTGTTATAAACGACCCCAAAGTTCTAAAGAATTGTTGATCATTTTTGTATGCACCACACTCTTAAAAAGCGAGTACATAATTGCAAGTGATTTAAAAGCACCTTCAAGTGTAATAACAGGATATGGTTGGTGATCTTGGCAAGAGCAGCCAGTAGAGAGATAGCTGAAGAACTAGTGGCATAAGGCAGTAAGAGATGCAGCAGAGACTCAGGGTAGACCTGGAGGAAGCACAAGATTGGCCACAGAGGAATAAAAGTTAATCTGATGACCTTAAAGACCTGCATAAGAAAATTTAAGGACAAAGGTCGCACATCCATTCTTTATTTTTACAGATGCTGTGACTGAAACTCTACCTCATTTTAAAAAGAGAAAGTCTTAGTTCTTCTTCTTCTACTCTAGCTAGAAAAAAATTCTTTGCCTAAAGAGAAGTGATGCAGAAAAGCTCTTGGGAGAAGGCCAAACACTCACATATTCATGGGGAAAGAAAATAGCAACATAGTAAAGTCAATCATTTGGAAAATTTTTCCACATAAATACTTTTAGCCATTTGAGGTAGCAGATTTTCTCCAAATTAAACTGTTGCTATGAAAGTCAATGTCAGGAAGTGGCTAAACTCAATAGTTTTTAAGTTGTGCTCTGAATTCCCAAATAGGAACCTTGCATTCATTTCTCAGGCTATTTTACGCTCCCTGAGTCTACAAAGGTGAAAGCACTGCAGAAGAGACAGTTTCCACTTCTCTTGGGGGGAGGAAAAGCATCATATTGTTCAAAAGCAACAGCTGCTGTTGAATTGGGCACAGCATTAACAATAACCTGAATAGGAGTTTAGTTAAACCTCCAGGCCTGAATATAGTTGAAGGGACAGTAAGCTTTCATGCAGAAATGGAGAGTTGATATCTCATCCGGGAGACTTTTTATGTGCTCACTATGCTCTAAGAAGTGGGTCCACAAATGCAGGTGGTTTGAAAAACACCTTGAGCTGCAGTAACAGCCCCTACTAGCTTCAATAAAACTTCAGTAAGAAATGAGCAAAGTACACCATTTTGGCTTTCCTGTTATGTGGAGTCACAGGTGATTCCAGTCTCAACAGCTATAGCAACCAATGGTGGAAAAGACTCTTCAGTAAGAAATCAGTGGCAAGTTCTACAGTTAAGAAGCAGAAGAAGAAAGAAGAAGGAAGAAGGAAGGAAGGAAGGGAGGAAGAAGAGGAGGAGGAGGAGATTTAAGGAATACATAAAACAGTCTAGAGACAACTCTTAAGGTGTGGGCTCCAAAAGGATTGAACACATACAAAAATGTTTTGGGGAAGTGATCAAAGGCACTTTATAAACAAACTTACTACTTAGTGTTTAAGTCACAAACTTCCCTACTGAACAGAAAATCTTTAAACAAGCCCAGGCAAGAGGCATTCCT